TTAAATAACCATCTGTTAAAATTACCTCCCTCCTGTCCATTACCTGCCAGCAATGCTTCATGGCTATCTCTATGTATCCTGAAATCCAGGAGAAGTCCAAGAATTGCCTGCAGTAACCAAGTGTAAATCTTGTGGCAACCCTTTCCCTATGTCAGGGAGCTGGTGAATACACTCCAGACTGGTGCCTTGAGTCATAAGGACACCATTCCCCCATAAAAGGAAACTGGAAGGGGTTGAGACGAGCTCTTTGTCAAACGCCACAGCAGCCAAGCAATTGCTGATCTTAGAGCGGTGCCTGCTGGCCAGTCATATCAGAAGCACTTGGAAATATTTCCACAGTGGACGAAGTTGCAGTCAAGTTCAGGAAAACATTTCTAGGGAAGAGGTGCATGTCCTGCTCTGCCGTCCTTCTGCCAGAATTTGCCATCCGAGTTCCCACCTGCTGCAAACAAGCTGTCCTAATTTTGTGAATCAGTCTGGTATTTACTTCTATCAGATCTCCAGCCCCACACTGTTTCCTGTCTTTACTAATTAAGGTTTTATGATGGTCAAGCCAATGACAACATAATTGATGACTTTAATATTTTTGTATAACTGATGTTATCTTGATAATGCAATTCCCTGTAAAAGTTCAGCTTCTCAACAGTGTCACCTCAACAAGATCCTTAACCTGTTTGGTGTTGGATGCTGAGAACATAAGGCACTTCACATCACTTAGACCTTTTGAAAATTCTGACATTTTACATACCTTTGCCCTACAGAAACATGCTCAAAACAGCAACAATGCCACTTGCTGTGTGAAACAGCTGCCAAAGCCACTGTTCTTTTACTGTCCTTATGACATGCTGGTCAAAGAAATTATATTGTGGGTGAAACAGCTCTGACCACAGAGGTAGTGTCTTGCATGCTTACAAATAGAAAAATACAAAAACGATGAAATTAGAAAGTAATTATGTCCAGAGATATAATGTAGCACTCTTATACCACCGTCACACATGTATAACAAGGTATTAAACTGGAATACATCCTCAGCCTGAGGATGTGGAGACAATTTAGATATGAGCAAAAGAAAACAGGTAGTGTATCCTGTGATTCCTGAACTTATATTATGAGGGAAAATACAGTTCCATCAGAAGATTGGAATTATGTCCCCCCAAGCCCACAGCTCTTCCAGGTAATGGCACACACCTCTCCACACACACAGAGCTCTACTCCTAAGGCAGTAGTTTGAAATGGCTGATATTGGTAATGGCAGAGGGTTGCATCCATCTTCATGGGTCTTCCAGGGGCTGAGCCAGTACAGCAAGCTCTCTCTTGGACCATGTTTTCCCACTGACGGCAGGTGGGGCAGCCTCAGATAGAGATTTCTCATTACTCACATTTGTTTGCTGTTTTGCTGCTCTTGAACCGTCAGTTTGACATTTTACATCCTCAACATGAGATGGGCAGATATAGGTGGGAGGTGGGCAGGCAGAAAAAAAAACAACAAAAAGGCTGCTAAATGCCTTTCTGGAGAACTGGATGTTACTTGTACGTCTGTTTGAGCTCCCCCATGCTGTACATAAAACAAAACATTCAGCTGAATATATATTTAAGGTAAACACTCACCAAATGGTTGTGTTGAACTGGCAACTACACAAATTTGAGCTGTCCTACTGTCTCAGAAGATGAAAGGACCCTTTCCCTACATCCACTCCAGCTTGGGAAATGGTCAGATGGGATGATGTGAACCTTATAACTCAAAAACATTTCAGGGAAAGTGAATTACTTAAAAGTACATCTCCAAAAGCCTGTGGGTTACACAAAGTTAATGCAAAAAATCAAAATAAATGTTGAAGCAAATAATTTTTCTACCCACAACAGAAATCTGCTGAAAATAAAAGTCTATTTTCAGAACTGGGGGAGTAAGGGAAGACTGCAGAAAATACTGAATTCAGCAATCTTTAGTCTTTCTGTGTTTGACTTTGCTGCTGCAATGAACTTCTGTCCTAATTTATTTGGCTTCAGAAAGACAGAACTGAAAAACAACCAGATGATAAATAATTATTAATGTGGAGCACATTACTAGTGATTACAGTGTTCCAAATCAACATACGCATGTTACCACTGTGACACTGTAGTGATTAGAAAAAGCATATTATGAGTTCTGGCTAATATACTCCAGAGTTGACCAGAGGACTTTCATCTGTAGTCAGTGCTGTTCAGCAAAACTCATGGTTCAGAGCCATGATGGAGCCCGAGAACTGTAGTCTGACTGCATTCCATGCAGTTATTTACTTGGAGATCATCTAACAGTGATCCCAAATTAAGTATTGTTTCCCATGACCTTTTTGCCTGCTAGGTTGGCCACAGGAACCAACAGGTCCACACCTCTGGCACACTTCAGAGTAGATGTAAAGGGAGATGTGATCTGCAGCATCCCTGAGTCACAACCTCTTTTCACAGGGAACAAATCCCCCATCCCTGTGGGCTGGCTCTCAACCTCAAAGTCCCACAGGCAGTTCCTCATAGTTTTCTTATTAAATCCAAGCTTTGGCTCATCCTACCTGCTGGCTTTGCATTACCCTGAGTCCTGATAACATTGGTGAGATCAATTCCCCAAGGGTACAGGCTCCTCTTTCAGATGTCCTAAAGATGTTAAAATAATTGAATGTCTTCACCAATTTCTAATTTCTCTAGGAAAAACCCAACTATATTGGCCCTTGAAAACATCTTCAACCAACCATCCCTCATGGCAAATCACCCTCACACTCCCCAAATGCCCATTGAGTACGTGGGCAGCAACCTGCCTCCTGCAGCTCTCAATGCAGAACAGCTAATCCATAGGTAATTAATCTCAAGGAGCCTTTTTCTCTCCCTCTGAATCAATGGCCTTCCTTGGGAAGCTTCACACTCCCCACAGCAGAGGGAAGCTGGGAATAATTTCCTGCACTGCTGGGTCTAAGTCCTGCCCCAGCAAAGCAGTGTCACCCAGACACACAGAGCTTCAGGATGCCATTCTGGCACTTAAGGCTTCCTGCCTCCTTTTCAAGTGTTGTCTCTCTGAGACAATCCTCTGGCTTAAATGAGAGACACCACCACCAACATTAAGGAGATTGGTTTAGTTAAATTAGTTTAGCTTAGCTTAATATTTACTTAAAACTGAGAATTTGCAACTGGAAGTAAAACATCTGAAAACATAATTCTCAACCAGACCTAGAGGAAAACACTGATATCAATGGAAAATGCCAATAACTATTGTCAGGACTGCAAGACAGCTTATTGCAGTTTAAAGTCAGCATTAAAAAAGATTATTCTGGAATTAATTTATCTTTGTAGCCCTAAAATTGTCTGGTTTGCAGTACTTTGCATAGAATTTCTGCATCTTCTTTGCACTTACCCCCACCAATCACTGATTGTTATGTTCACTTCCATTCCATCTTCCTGCTCCAACTCCACTCTCTTCTTCCCTCTCTTCCCCAGGAAGCAAAAGAGGATCCAAACTGCATACTTGAAGTTCACTGATACTCCCCAGTGAAAAGCAATGGTAAACAAATATAACTGGGTATGATAGAAGAGGAAAACACATTCTAAATTGGAAAGAAACTTGCAACTTATAAAGCTAGGAAATTTTTTTTTTCTAGGTAGAGAGGCACAGCTGATGGAAAAAATTGGTAAGCTTTGTGACCCACAAGCATCTCTTCAGACATCCAACAGGGATAAAGAAGCAGCTGCGTTTTTCATATAAAACTTCATAGATTAGAAATTTAAATGTGTCCTTGAGCACAGGGTACACTGATGTCCCCCATGACTGCACTTGCTAAGCCACACTGGCCAACATGATGCCCCACAATTAACCCTATTTTCCACCTTTTAAGGAGGAAAATTCCCTTGAGGTCATGCCTAAGGTAAAGTTCCTCAGAATTTTGCTTCATGCTCATCAGGGTCCCTAGAAATGTTTCATGTCCTTGTATCTGCCCCACAGTTCAAACTGCACCCAGAGATGGTTGAGCAGACACGCTCACCTCGCCCTTTTGCTTTGTATGTCCCTAAATTACACTGATGCTGCTTGGAGAGGACTGCAAACCTGTGTTCCAGCAGCAGGATGCCACATACGGTGTGTGCCACCTCCTTGCAGTCTGGCAGGCATAATCAGTCCCTGGCTTTAAGGCACAGATACAAGTCAGCTCACAGGGCAACCACGCTGCCTGCTGGTGCTCCTGCTGCCCCCAGCTTTAGCTGCAGTCCTGCTGCTGCAAGCCAATCCTCCCATCTCTGCTCGTGCAGCTCCATATGGAGCTATCTCTTAGGCACTGATGAAGGCTGTCTCAACTCACAGGACTGCTTTCACACTGCAATCTGAAAGAAATTGTTCCCAACAGTTGTGCAGCCAATGCTAATGTATGGAAGATGCAACTTTTCAACCAGCACAGAGAGATCCAGCACAGTGTGTTTGCCAACAACTGAAAGCTGGGCATGACAGCACAACACAAAGCTGCCTGCTCAACTGTGGGTTGAGTTTTGTGACCAAAATTCACACTTTCAGCTCTGCAGCAGATTTCGAGCTCTGATCTCATTTATTCTGGGATTAATTAGGAGCAACATCTCCTGTAGGCACTGCTTTCATAGGCTAAAGCTAGTATAAAGCAAGGAGAGTCAGGACCAAGGAATCAATCAGACTGAGTACAACTACTTAGCAGCAGCTTCTACTCACTGTGAGTTTGCTTATTAACAGAAACAGGTCTTGCCACCAGCATCAGGGATGTCAGAGGGCAGGCTCACTTCCTGGAATACAACAGCATTTCCTGGGCTCAAGTTGCTCACAGGCCAAAAATAGCTACATTTTGAGTGAGCTTCTACTCTCTGCTATTGAAAACTGTCTGTTTTCCATTCACTGCAAAGTAAGATCGGACACAAGCTTTTCACAAAAAACAAAGTTTATTCTTCTTTAGTTTTTGAGGGGACATTTGAAGAGAAGGACACAGGGAATGGCACTGCAAATACGATCACCAAAACCAGCAGGAAGTGAGGTGAATTTATTCTCCCAAATGTCTGACTTCACATCCTTACAGGAAAAAAAAACAACAAAATCTACCCCTCATAAAACCCAAAGAAACAACAGTACCAATTAAAAAAAAAAAAAAGCTTCACTGTTGCTTTGAAAACTGTGGTTTGCAGTTCTACCAGAAGTTCCTCATGCACAGAAAAACCTGTGCAAGGTAAAAGGGTGAAAGCTGGCAGTGAGAGACTGTCGAGCTTGTAGTTCTTGCTTTTATGTCAGCCTCCCATGTAAATGGGTTTTTCTACTTCTGATCAAGCTCCAAAATTTCACAAACTATTCTGAAGACTTCCAGCAACTGAGGTTAATTTACCACAGCTGCTTACTATTTTTGAAGGCTGTTGCCTCTTGCTTTGGAAACAATGTCAGTTATACCAGGAGTCAAAGAATCTTCAAAACCACACAATATGACATCCTTCTGTGTTGTTTAGTATAAAATTGCACAGGATGAATGGAGACCATGACACAAAGTGGTATAGTTTCTGGAAGTAGTTTCAGCCAGTTTCACCACTAATTTTTTACTATTATTTCTCACATAAATAACAGAAAAGACTTTGCCTAAGCAGGCAAACAAGCTACAGGTTTACTTTTAACATGATAACCACAACAAAGGATATCTTTGTGTGGAGACTTGTTAAAAAATTATTAACAAGCAGACAGCATTATCCTGATAAATTTATTGAAAGTGGAACAGAGAAGAACACTTGGGTCAGGAATACTGACCCCCCCCAAAGCACAGCACCAAACAAACAAATAAAAATCCTGTATAAAATACATCACTTTGGTTAAGATTATTTTGAGGATCAGTTAGTAATTTTTAAGATTAAATAAAAAAATGTATGTACATTTACAAAAAGACATGACTAAGTTTTTTACACCTTGAATATTTTTTTTAATAAATTACAAATATTTACAGACAGAAGTAGATGAAAAGGTTCTACCAAAAGTGACTTTTGAATGTTTGCACAGTGTACAGTATACAAGCTGTACACTCATGCAGCTGCAAATGGAAGAAAAAATTGTGGGAGTGGAAAGGGCAAAAGTCAAAACAAGGGGAAAGCTGAATGCTACCAGTGTCTTCTGATCTTTGGTTACCAGTGTCAAACCTTCATGATTCTTCACACATGCCATGTTCAAAATGAACTGAACTGGCTTTCAACTTTCATAAACAGTCAGCATGTAAACATAACGAAAAGCACTCCATAGCTTGATGTTCTGAAAGCATTAATGCATGGTGGTTTTCTTTTTGATTCTTTTTAAATTTCATTATATACACTACCTCAGTTTTCAAGTTCTTGTTCTAGTCTCAAGCAACATAAAAACATACTATTATTTCCTAGAAATGAGTAGAAGTGAGATGACATTCTTCAAAAAATATGAAGAGCAAAGGCTTAAAAAGTCCTAAAAGTTCAAAAAATATAAAAAGCTTTAGAAAAAGACCAAACCTGCTTTGTTACAGTGCAAAAACAAGCTGAAATGTAGTTTTATCCCAGAATGAACCACTGTCAGGAGATGATCCATTTGCCAGGCATCTGGCAAATCTAAGACATAGCTTTGTCTAGAACCAAGACTAGAAAATGCAAACTTCCACCATGTGGGCCTGCTGAAGGATGAAGTTTTTTTTTCTGACTGTAAAAAGGTACTGATAAAAAAGTGAAAGCTGATCAGTTTTTGATTTGCTCACATTCATGCAAATATATAAAACTTTGTAAATCTCTAAATATTAATGACAAAGAGGCTTTAGTGTGTTAGTAAAAAAACCCCATATGCAAAAAAACCATATACAAAACAATTAAAAAGATTTTGTACATGATTTGGCCTATTTGTCTTCACATAGTAACACTAGAAAAGGAGGCTGTTTTTCCTGAGGAAAGAAAAATAGGCACTGGAAACAGTTCAGCCTGTCTTCAAAGGGCTTCTTGATGAAGGTCTGACAACTTCATTGCTTGTGGAAGGGAAAAGGTAGCACCTCCTTCATCACTGAATTCTACTGCTTCTCTTCCATGTTTGTTTGGGCAACAAAGCAATTATTTCCTTATGCTTCAAGATCTGAAACAAAAGAATAACAAAAGCATACAGGTAAATTACTATGTCTTTTCTTCTAGAAATTGAACTCGGTACAGGAGAATACTGCAGGCTTTAGATACTAATGAGGGTTGTGAAGATGCACCAAGACACTGTCACATGATTTGTTAACAATCCAGTCAGACCAATCGTAGCTGATAGCCTCTAAACATTTTACCCAAACTTTCTGCTTATGATTAAGCACATTCCTCTGCAACTGGATCACATTTAGAACATTTATTACTTACTGCCAGCCACCAGCTAAGCAGCTGGTAACCTGTGAAGTTGTTCTGACTTCGTGACTTTGGATCACATAATCAGGCAATTAAGACACCACTTCTATTCAAATGTTTTATGTCCATGATCTCAACATCAGCTGTGCATCACACATGCTCGTGTTGCTGCTGCTATTTCTTCCACACAATAATGCCAGGTGCTTTTGGAGTTTCCTCCTTTGAGGATTGAAGATACAGCTCTTATTTGACAAGGAGACTGAAGGCCAAGGGAAATTACAGTGCAGGAAGTTCAAAACTAACTTACCACATGAAACATGCATCAGGCTCTAACCAGGCTGCTTTCCAACAAAGCACCCACCAGCCCACTTACATCACTGTTTCCACCTTGCTGCACACATAGCAACTCTGTAAGGGGAGCCACCTGGATGTGCCAGGACACATCCTTTGGTCTTTGCTCCCATTTTGAAAGCACTACCTGTCCCTCCCACTAATCTCCAGCTCAGCATTACTCCAGGATAAGATGTCAGGAGACAGTGTAGGAGGGCAGAGGATGGTGACATACAGTACACAGCTCTGTAGATGATGACAAAAAGAAAGCTGTCCCTAGTCTGGTTCTCACAAGGTCCCTGGATAGACTTGAAGTATTTTTATGATTTGTGTGCTTAAAATCCAAGCAGATTTACTGCTTTACCTTATGATGCTTTACCTGATGATACTAAAGAACATACCAAAAAGCCAGTTGTGTGTGTGTGTGCTATTTCCTTGTGCAGTGAGAGAGTCTGAATATGAAATAAGGTTCTGTCACTTTACAGCTTCAAGGACAAGTATCAGGTTTCATACCCACTCCCTACCCCCAGAACACACAAAATGCTCTGTTCTCACGCGGTTTGCAAACAGAACCGAAGCAAGCACAGCTGCATCTGGTGCCTCAGCATGACATAACAGAGCAGTTCCAGATGCTAAACCTTTAAGGGTGACTCAGGAGCAGAGTTGTTTAGCCCAGCAAAGCAGCATATCACATGGACCAGGAATAATATACTGGGATGCTTCATTTGGCTTTCAGTATTACTCGCTGTCAGCTAACAGGTTCTTAGTTATTACAACACACCACACCTTCCTCTGCAGCTATGCAGACTGTTCCAAGTCCATTGCCTGGTTTCATGGCAAGTTCATCAGCAGTTTTGTCTGCATCACAGAGTCAGGTTTTTTACACTCAGTCCTAACTCTCTCCCAGCCTCCCATTCATCCATGTTTTCTTACATTCAGAGATTTTTTTCACCCTTCTTTTCAACACTGTGATTGTCTACCTCATCAGTAAAATACTTTGGTATTTTACTGATGAGGTAGACAATCACAAAAGGATTGGGGACCACTCACCTACAATACAAAAATCAGAAATTAGTATAAGAGGGCCACGGTTACACCACTCAAGTAAGCACTGTATAACAGACAAAATGACATTTTTCCTTTTTTTTCCAAGAAAGGGAAATTATTCACAGTCAACCTTGGTGTCAGTCAGCACACTCTCCCAAGACAGAGAGCTTCAATCTCACATACCTCCTTTAGTGCAGCTGGAGGAGTTGTCTGGGTGCCCCCCATTTTCACCTTCTGTATCCTGGGGCACTTCTGCAAGGACAAAGGCAATACTCAGACAATCCTGGACCTCACAACACTCTGCCTCTCTGCCCCAGTTGGATCAAGAACAGTATGACTGGGATTTGGACCATTTGTTTGGCAACAATAGTAACCCTGACCAGCATGCCTCACTCCCATGGATCGCCATCCAACACGTCCCTTCTCTCCTCCATTCCTGATCTGCACTGTTGTCACAATCCCTCACCCACCCTGTCAAGGCCAAGCACAGGAAATGCTCAGTGCCGTGGTGCCACCCATTAGGTGGCATGAGGCAAAAGTCACACTGAACAAAGATTGCTCCACAGTCCAGGCACTACCTCCTTCATTCATATCATGGCCATCTGCATGGTTACTGTGTGCATACACAATACAAAAAGGCTCCTGGAGAGGGCCATGAGGATGGTGAAGGGTCTGGAGAGGAAGCCTTATGAGGAGTGGCTGAGGTCACTTGGTCTCTTCAGCCTGGAGGAGACTGAAGAGAAACCTCAACACAGCCTATAACTTCCTCATGTGGGGAAGAGGAGAGACAGATACAATCTCCTCACTCTCATGATCAGGGACAAGACTCAAGGAAACAGCATGAAGCTGAGTCAGGGGAAGTTTAGGCCAGATGTCAAGAAAGGGTTTTTCACCCACAGGGTGCCTGGGCACTGGAACAGGCGCCCCAGGGAAGTGGTCACAGCACCCAGCCTGACAGAGTTCAAGAACAACACTCTCAGGAATATGGTGTGATTTTTGGGGTGTCATTGGCAGGGCAGGAGCTGGAGTCAATCCTGATGTGTGCCTTCCAACTCACCAGATTCTAGGATTCTATGAAGGGATCATGGCCAGTTTGACTGCTGGGCCAGTAGTACTCACTGCTGCATAGAACAGGCACTTACCTTCCTGATTTACACCATTCTCAACTATCTGCTTGTCTTTCAGGGCCACCTCATTCCCATCCAGTGCTCTGTCTGAAGAGATCAGAGAACAAAAAGAGGTCAGGGAATAGCAGTCCCTCAGGAGCACAGGCCATGGCTTCTGCCCCTCCCCAGCACAGGCCTCACCTTCCCTCTGCACCTTCAGTACTGCTGTGCTATCAGCAAAAGCCCTGCGTGAAATTGCTTTGTTCAGAGGACATCATAGCCTTGCCTGCTATTTCCCACCCCTGGAGCAGTGACTGCCTGCTCCCCAGCTGGCTGCACTGCACAGAGGTGCACTGACTCCTCTGCCTGATGTTCCCATTCTATCCACAACAAAATAAAGATTTTATTTTCTGCATCTCGTGTCCAAACAGACAACCTTTATCTCTGGACCTGATTTCTCTTGCCTGAACTGTGTGTTTCCCTCCTTTCTACTGTAACTCAGGTGTAAAATAAGCCTCCTTTTCCTATACCCATGTCTATGTATATGGAAACAGTTACACCAGTGATGACACAATCCTGCAGTGCACCACAACCACCATCAACTACACAATCCCTGTTTCTTCAGATGAAAGAAAGCTGTTCCATACCCACTACAATACATGCAGGAAGAATAAACAGCAAACCCCAGGGGCTTCTGAATTTTTTTGAGTTTCTTTTTCCTTATTGTCATCATTGGTGATTATTTTTCCTTTATAGGAAATACTTCTGCTTTCCCCAACCCCTTATTATCAGTCACTTGTGGAAATGGTGGAAGAGCTAATGAGTGAATCAATCACTAGTGCAAAAGACTGGGGAAAAAACTGACATTTTTTCTCAAGTTGAACAATAATGTTCAATTTCACTAGCCCTTTGGCATTAAAAGAACTTCTAGAAAAAATACAGGTCCCAGAACTTCCATGAAATTTACACTGGCTGGATTAAGAAAACAAAACTGGGGCTTTGCTTAACTGCCTGGTGAATGCAGTCAAAAGACTTTCCTAAAGCACAAAGCAAGAGGAAGATACAGTAGCAGGCTTTGTTCCTTAGAGAACCACATTTCTGGATGAAGTATCTCCCAAATACGAATTTTGCAAGCTGCTAAGCATCCCATCTCTAGATTGGTGTGCTGAGGCTCTTATCTTTCCTCCATGCTCAGTTCTTCTCCCCACAGATGGCAAAAGCAGCATCATTCTCATCATATCAAGAGGGAAGGTGAAGCCCCAAGAAGGTGTTTGCTCTGTGCTGTTTACCAAACCCAGCCTCCAGGTCTTTCTTGTTTCTCCTCTACTGACCTACCCATCAACATTGACTGTTCCTAAGGCAACAGGTTCTTCTAGGCCAACAGGGGAATGGAAAACTCTGGCACAATAGTCTTAAGCAAAATATGCAACTCAGCCCTAAAGTGACAACTTCATTATAACACTTTTAAAATATATTTCTGAGAACCACTGTGTTATGCCACTTTAAGGACTCACAATTAATTTCAAATTTAGCTTCCATCCAGCAACAACTTAAGGTCCCAGACTATGACCAACATTGTTTATATTTGTGCCGACAACTTTACAAAAGTCTTGCCCATGTAGATCTATTGGAAAAGCTGCACAGATCTGCCAAAAAGAGCCAGAGATAGCTGAGAATCAGCATCTACTTTTTTTTACTTCATCTGTGTTGCACTAACACTGTAACTTTAAACCCTTGCTCTTTGCAGACCTTAAAGAATCTTTAATAGAAACATTATAAAGCAAATTTAAGTGCAGTACCAAAATGAGGTTTTTTGGGGGGCTTATTGGGGTTTTTTTCCTACCCATCCTCCTCATTTTCTCACTTTGAGATTCAGTCTCGACCTCAGCGGGCTCTGAACCATGGGCTAGAACCACAGCTTTAACAAATGTAAGGTACCAGACTGGGCAGCCACATGAAGGCACTGTGAGCTCAACACCAGAACAGTCCAAGAGGGCACTGAACCTGCACCTGATGGCAGGAGCTCTGGCCATTCCCCACTGAAACATTGTTTGGGCTGGGAACAGAACATTTCTTAAGAATCTTCCCCTGGTTTCCCTCGTCTGCTTGACTGTCTTGGGGGTTAATTTTGTTTGGTTCCTAAAACAGACCACAGTCCTGGCAACAAGCTAGAATATGATAGCCAAATTCACTCCTAAGAAAGGGGCACAGACTAAAGGAGTTGTCTCCTTCCCTAGCTGCTCACTGTATAAAGTGATTTCCACACCCCAACACACAAGAAGCCAGAAAACAGCACAATCTTGCTGCAAATTAAGGAAGTAAAAAAAACCCCAAAACACTTCAACAAACCACTAAGAAAAAAACAAAACAAAAATTCACAACCAACGAAACAAAAATCCTCAAAATAAAAAAACCCAAACAACTCAATGAAGATTAGAATAGACAACAGAAGCCCAGGCAGAGATCTGGACAGGAAGAGAGGAATGACAGATTGCCCTACAGTGTGCACTTTTCCAGCCCTCAATCTGAGGCCAGCCCCAATTCTCCATTTTTAGAAAGGTAATTCACCTCCAAAGACAGCTGCTGACCAGGAAAATCTCAGGCCATTCACTGTCAGTAACTCTGCCAGCCCCACTAACACATTCACTAGGTGCAGGTCCCTATCCAATACTGCACCTCAAGTGAGATTTTGACTCTGCATGTGCCCACTTTGAAAACCAATTCAAAAGCTCAGACCCTGCAAAAAAGGAAATAGCAAATCAGACTCCCTGCTCCAACCAAGAGCAGGTGTTTAGAAACATTAATACCGCAATACGGGCTTCTTACCTCTCTCTGAGTTAGATTGTTGTTGGCTGTTCCCAGGGTAAAGTTGCTCATGCTCTCCTATAAAGAAATTTATTTGTTTTAGAAAGTATGTATTAATGACCTGGAAACAAAATAACTACACTCAAAGAAAACTTACTCCTTTACCTCTCTAATGAAAGACTACACTGACACAATAAAAACTGACAAGCCCAGACCAAGCACCAGTCTGATTTCCACACATTTGTGACACTATCTTACCTGAGCCATTCACTGGACTATTATTCTGAGCAGTCCTTCTCCCAAGTTTAATTATACCTGCACACAAATAGAATATTTGGAGAAATTACAAAGTTTTGCTCCTTTGGAAGTTTGTTGACAGCCTCCATCCATTCCATCCCCCTCTCCAACTCCCAAACCAAAAAATAACACATTTCACTGAAAACATGAAACTGAATACTTGACTTGGAGGAAAGACAGTCAGTGAGAGGTCAACAGAATGGGTCTCCTGTCACAGCAAGTCAGAACACATCTATTCAAATCTAAGGTGGAGCTTAACAATTTCTGATTATATATCTTGTACTTAAAACAGCAAACTTCTGCTGTTTGATTATACCTGGGCAATGCTTATCCTACCAAGGTATAACAGGTTTATTTTCTTGCATGTTCAAAACCTTATTGTTTCAAGGGAATTAACGGAATTTTGATTCTAACTGATGGTCAGTTTTAAGTGACATTCTTTGTATGTCCAAGAGCAGTTTGTTTAACACCACCAACATGAACAAGGACACAGAAGGCACTTTCAGAAAGTTTGCAGATGACATCAAACCAGGGAGAGTAGGGGACATGCTGGAAAGCAGGCTTGCCACTCAAACTGACTTCAACAACCTGGAGAAACCTGGCAGAACCTGGCAGAAAAGGCATATTCAAAGGCAAACAAAGTCCTGAATCTCTTAAGTCAGCCCATGGACCTGCCTGGCTAGGAAACAGCTCTGCAGGAAAGGACCTGAAAGCATGAACAAGCTCAACATTACACAGAAAAATATGCCCTTGCAGTAGAGGGCTTCCAAATGCTGGGCTGTGTTAGCAGAAGCACAGACAGCCCATCAACACAAATAATTCCTCCTCTCTATTCAATATTTGGGACACCACAAGTGGAGTACTCTCTCTAGTTTTAGTCTCCCAAACAATGTAAAAACACCATGTTTCTAAGTTAGTCCAGCAAAAGTCCACCAAGATGCCTAGGGTTAGCACCTGTGCAAGGAGGTGCTGAGAGAACTGGGTTTGTTCGGCTCAAGAAGGAGGATAAGAGGATGATGGCTCACTGCAGTCTACAACGAATGACAGAAAACAAAGGAAACCCCTCTCAGAACAAAACAGGAGGCAATGGCTACCAGTTGCCAAAGGGCAATCCCTAACAGAAATAAGGAAAATATCCTTCCCTACAAGAGTGATTCAGCACTTCAACATGTGCTGAAAGAGGCTGGGAAATTCCCACCCTTGGAACTATTCAAAGTTTGACTGGACAAGGCCTTAAGCAACTTGATCTAGCTTTGAAGTTGATCATCCTTTCAGCAGGAAGTTGGATGAAACTTCCAGAGATATCTTCTCACCTAGTTTATTTTATGATTCTAGGCCAACAGAAACTAAATGGACAATGAACAGGAAAGCAAAAGGTCCACATGCAATATATATATCTATTTATGTCCTGATCAGAATATCATCAATTAGTCCTTCCCAGACGGGAGATGCCTCCAGTACTCTTCATCCTGCAGCCACCTCCAAGTGGTGGCCCCATCTGGAAGTCAACTTGAATCTTGCAAAGCAGCATAGGATGACGAAATATATTCCTGTTTGGGACTCTCTCCAAGACAAGGAGAAAATATGGTGTGCCCCTCTTTTTCAAGTCAGAAGACAACACAGAAATCCAAAAACGTGGCAGAAAAAGATACAGAGTGATAGCCTATAATTACTATTTCTGATTAAACTGCCAGATTTACAAAAAAGATACTTGAACTCCGTGTAGGGATGGATCAAAAAACAAATACAGAACTCCAATATGATGGCAACACAAGCTGTCAGGAGGCACAGAAGGTCCCATTTATCAGTTGACCACATTGAGTTGTCACATTGGACTCAACATATGATATTCAGATCTGGTACAAGCCTGTCCCAACAGTAAATGGGATCTTGAAGGCAGCTTTATAATGCTCTTAAAAATCAGGCTGTGAAAACACACTCAGGTAAGAACAGGAGAGGCTACACATACTTGATAAGTAGAAACACACTGTAAATCAAACACCCAGTCTGAAGGAGAACTATGCAAATGCTAACTGCAGTGTTTCCTAGGACTCAGAGCCCAGTGTCAGAATGCAAGAAAGTCCAGTACATTATTTCCTTCAAATCTATTCATTTGTGCCTAAACTGGATTTGTTTCTTCTACTGATTTTACAAAACACTTGCTGGTCAGAAATTTTCATGCATTCTACAGAACCTTAGGTGAGTATAATCTGGAAGCACATAAAGCTCAGTTAGGAAGTGTTATGCATACCTTTCCTCCACAGGAATCCTAGGATTACCATTAGGATAGTAAGTGCAATAAGGAGGTAAAGAATAGTTCTATGTCGTTTGTGAGAATTGTGTCCTTTAAAAAATGAAAAAAAAAAAAAAAGAAATCATACTGGTTAGTTAGAAAGTAACTGTATGATACACTAGTTCAGTAGAGCTACAACCCTAAGTATGTTTTATAGCTATTTTTTAAACAGTAACCTCAATAAATTAATGCACCAGAGTCAGTTATTAGCAATACCCTGAGCCATCACCAGGACAGTTACATGTTAAGTACCTCATTTCAGTGAAGGCACATACCCCTTGAAAGGCAATGGCTATTCCTATGAAAGGCTGGGCCAGATTTCAAACAAATGAAATTTCAGCAAATATCTTGTATTGGGTTTTCACTGCAAGGTTTTGATGGTTTCTGTGAGAAGATGCCAGAAGCTGTCCCCATGTCAGATAGTGCTGATGCCAAGCTGGATGTGCTGCTGGCCAAGGCAGAGCCTATCAGAGACTGTGGCAGTGTCTCTGGGATAACACTTCTAAGAAAAGGGAAAAACTGCTGGACAACAACAGCAAGGGGGAGAGGGGGGTGACAATATGTGAGGGAATCTGCCCAACAGACAGACAACCAAGGTCAGTGCAGAAGGAGATGCAAGTGCTGGAGCAGGGATTCCCATGGAGGTTCCCACATCAGAACAGGTGGTGCCCAAAGGAGGCTGTGACCCCTTGGAGAGATTAGCCCACACTGGAGCAGCTTTGCTGGCAGGGCTTGTGACTCTGTGGGGAAGCCACACTGGAGCAGTTCATGAAGAACTGTGGGAAGGACTCATGTTGGAGAAGTTCATGGAGACGGTCTCCTGTGAGAGGGAACCCACACTGGGGCAGGGGGAGTGTGAGGAGGCCTGCCCCTGAGGAAGAAGGGCAATGTATGGCTCAGGCCCCATTTCCCATCCCCCTGTGCTGCTCAGGGAGACCTGCTCAGGTAACAATATTGGGAGTGAAGTTGAGGTTGGGAAGAAAGGAGGGGTTTCGGGGAGGTGTTTTACATTTGCTCTTATTTCTCATTACCCTGTTCTGATTTTGACTGGCAATAAATTAAACTCATTTTCCCAAAGTTGAGTCTCTTTTGCCTGTGACAGTAATAGCCAAATGACCTCTCTCTGTCCTTGCCTCAACCTATGAGGCTTTTATCATATTTTCTCCTTCCTGCCCCACAGAGAAGTGCCAGATTAGCCTGAAAGGCACCTGGCAGCCAGCCAGGTCAACCTACCACATGCCTCACATCTGACAAGTTTATCCAGTAAAGGAAGAATTCTGTACTAGTAAACCATGACAACTACTTTTGCACAGAAATGAGAACTTTTGTCATTAGGGACTGCCTTAAGCAACCTACAAACCAGATGGTTCCAAGCATATTCTCAGTCTGTGCTTAAAGAAACCCTAAAAATTCAAGCCTCAAGCTGAGGGCTGTCCCAAAGCAATAAGCAACAGGAGGAACATTCTCTTTTCTATCTTCTACCTGTCCATGAAGGAGGAAGGAACTATGCTCATTGACTCACACACACGCTAGATGAGAAAATATTTTATCTTATTTTATTTATTATTTTATTTTATGGCTGCTAGATGACTCACTTGAAATGGCTGAATAGTTTCACTCCAATTCATGGAGAGCAGTACAAAGAGGACAAGTTCCTAGCATTAATTACATAAGACCAGAAGGTTCAGAAGAGATCTTCTAAGACCTTCTAATCTTTATTATTACTCAAATCAAGTCACAGCTATAGGTTTTATTCTGTAGAGATCCCTGCAAAAAGTATCTTTCCACGGGGATCAACCTGTCATCCTCATACTTTTCACAAATTTTATACACACTTTTAGCCAACAAATCACTTCTGGTGCATTTTACTCTTGAAATTCAACTTCCTGGGAAGTCAGGAGAAACCTTACAAAGGCCATGCCGCTTCCCAAACAAACCCCTTAGACCTATGTTTGCAACATGACACATTTATTACCTTTTTCTTCTGGAAGGCATTGAATCAAAGAGATTTCAGAGCTCCTTTCTGTTTGTGAATATTTAATGATACATGTAGCGTTGGTAGTAGCATCAACATTCTTCAAAGGGACAGAAAGCTCCCAGTTCCGATACCTGTGTGGATTGTTACTGAGCTTCCAAGTGTAATTCAGAGATGCCTGAAAATTTGCTGTACAGTTTAATATAAGTTCATCATCACTGGTGCTGCAATTTATTTCAGGTTTTGGAAGAGAATCTAGAAGGAGAGAAAGCATTCTATATTACTTTAGTTTCTACATTTGTTTTACTAGTTTCTAAAACATTCTAATTACTTTAGTTATTACTTTATAAACTATACAGAATTTCAGCACAGGACAAGGGCTGGAGCAACAAAAGCAGCAGGAGAGTGCACAGACAAAAGTGTGGGGGTATGTGCACATATGCCTGAGAAATGTGTTTCTGAAAGTGACCTGTAAACCTCCTGTTTGTGGTTCTCCCATTCCTAGTCCAAGAGTGGTTCACCATCCACAGGGCTAACAGACACACTGGTCACACACATTTCCCCAAGACTACAAGTGAGGCTGAGTAGATCTGCACAGGATGATGCCACAAGTGCTCAGACATGCGTAATATGCCTGCAGGAATATTTTTAATAGATACATAATGCCTGGGATTACCTGGTCAGCTTGCTCAAAAAGTTTCATTGTCTACCTGAAAGTGCAGTGTGCCATCTACACACGTTCTAGAAGTCATCCCAAGGTGAGTAATGATGGGCACACAAATGAGATGCCACCTTTGAAAATTTGTTCAAAGTGGCTAAGCCATTTAAAAATAGAGACAAAGAACAGCCCCCTCTGTTCCTGTTTGCTTCCTTAACAAATAAACAATGCCCTTTCTGGAGATTTTAAAGTGAATAATGCTTCACATTCTTTATGCAGTTCTTCCAGTACTTACCTAACACAACAAGTTCAAAGTTGAAGCTGTGTTCTTCCACAGAATCCCAGTACACTAACTCATATGTGCCAGTGTCACTCTTCTCCAAGTTAACTATAGTCAAGGATCCATTCTTCATAAGTACACTCCTGCCGTGAAGAGGACTATAATATGTCAGTTTGTTTTGATCCTCCCATTCAGCCACTTTATGCTTGTTTTTCTTCCAGACAATGTCCACTGTTTTTTGGTCTATTTGTACTGGAAAAGTAAAATTTTCTCCCATGATGCCAATTATTTCTTTTTGGTATCCATGTGCTATAGGGGGGGGGAAAGGAGAAAAAGTTACTTCAACAATTGTTTTATAAAACACTGCTTGACTAATGCCCTATCCAATATCAGATACATTCAAATTTAGGTTAGAAGCACATCACAAAGTTGCAAACTAAGGTACACATCAGGTAAGAATTACCCAAACCCAGGCTGACAGCACAATTGTATGACAAGCATGGCAAAGGAATCCAGTTTCCACATTCTGGTCCCAGGCAGAACAATTGCCCCAGTGATCTTCCCGATCCTAAGCCCTTCTATCTTCAGTACTTTCCCTCTGTGCACTTGAATTAGGCTTCCTGCCCATGATCTGGTGAAAAATATTAAATGAAGAATTGTCACCATCAAAATCTCTTTGAGGATCTTGTTGCAGAACACCCACACTGAAGTTCCTGCTGATCAAATAAACTGTAATTTTTCCAGTATGAAAATATTCACAGTTAGTAAAAAGCACACTTCTGACGCAAAACTGTTACTGAGTTCAAAGCACCTGCTCTGAAGTCATGGGAGAGTTAGGGATTTCCCTTGAAATGTCACCTAAGCAAGTTTATTTCACAGCCAGTATGTGTGAAACAGCATCCCATCCTCTGAGATCTTGCAGAGCTGTCAGCAAGAATGAAGCTGTTCAGAAATCTCCACTGCTCTCAGCTTCGAATCAATTACATTCTGCTAAAACGCCCAGGTATTCCATATAAATAAATAAACCACAACAAAAGAGAGATAAGAGATTTTTCCTTAATTTTCATTGAAAACAGCTACATTTACATAGAGAAAAAAAACCCGCTCACACTGATGTAACAGACAAAATCCTGCTGTGGGTAAAGGACCACAACCTTAAAACCAACAGCATCTCTGTGTCTCTGCTTCAGTCTTCAGCAATCACCTCCCACTTCTCAATAGCTCCAAATGGCTCTAGAACAATTGCAAGATCACTGCCATGGCAGACAGGAATATAGCCAAAACCCTCTGGTATTGAGTTCTAGTTACACTTGCATTTAGGAATCTATTTTGGTCCACAGTAGCTGGTTTTTACTTCTATGTTGAAGTAAGAGCATGGTTAAGCTGCAAATGAGGTCTCACATTAAGGCAGGATTCCCAATCTGCAGCATTTAAAACTTCCCTTTAAACAGTTGCTATACATGGTGAAACAAATATTTCAGATGTCTAATCCTCAAGCCAACTGGTTCCCAGTGACAGCTAGTATTCTGGGTTTTATCTTTTTTTTTAATTTATTCCAAAATTGCATCAGTTTAAGGACACACCAATTCCTATATCCTGGCAGACAGAACATCAGCTAGGCCTTCCTTTCCCACTGGCAAAGGACAGTGCCCATCAGCTCTTCTGCCACACTGTAGAAACACAGACTTTCTCTGACAGCACAATGAATACAAGCAATACAAACACACTTCTGTGTGCTTGGCTAGAGAACTGCATACATGACTCCTCCATGCCTTACTTTCTATGGAATATCCAATTTGTTTGCAATTTACCCATGGAAGCGCTCTTCTCACACCACTGGAGTTTGCAACTTCTTCTTGTCTGCACCTACACCTTTTTCAGGCACAAGGATTGTAGAAGTAATCAGGGTAAAGCTACCAACACCCACATCTTGTCAACACTACCTATCTGCTTTCTTTGTATTCTCCCCTGTTCAGGTGGATTTAAACATTTTACTCAAGCATCTCTTTCCAACTATCTCAATTAATGATTTCCAGAAGAAAAAAGAACTCAGGAACTCCAGACTTTGTGTCTGGAGACCACAAGATTGCAGGAGACTGGGTAGGGTGGAACACTATTTCGATCTGACAAAGCCTGGAGTCTTGTTCAAGACCTTTGTCTCATAAAGACAAATTCCAGGAGTGCATATTCCTCAAGAAGTCATCCCTCACTGCCTAAGGACCTATGGTATTCCTAGTACGGAGAAATCCTCCCTGCTCTTCCCACTGTGAAATTCTACCTCTAGGTAGCTTTGGCTCACAGAACACAACCAGGCTGTGGTGGCTTGACATCAGCATAAGCCAAACCACACTGGCTGTTGACAAGAGCCTCCAGAAAGGACAGCAGCTGCTTGCTGGGCCCTGAGAACACAAGCAAGGACAGCCACCACTGCTCAGCCAACCACTTAAAACTTCCTACATCTGGCTGCTGATCCAGGTAAATGCTCCATGTCTTCACTCTCTCTCAGTTAGTCATAAGTGCTAGGCTGGAGTTATGAGAGCAAAGTTGCTGCTTTCTCAAGCCCAGGAGAGAAGCTGAAGGAAAGCAGAGCTGAAAAATCCTACATTTTCTCTGCACAGGTTCTGCATGGCACAGGAGGACACTGCTGTCTTCAGCACACTCTCCTTCTTGCTGCCTGGTGGAACAAAGGCTTGGCAGCAAGGAGCTGACGAGCTCCTCCCGAGGGCATTCAGGGCTCCCAGCAGCAGGACCAGGAAAAGGTTATTCCTCAAGGATATAACCTTAGAACTCCAATCTCTGGGTTTATTTCCGTGTTTCACTGTTGTAGCGAAAATGTGAAGTCTCCCACTCAGCGCCGTCAGCTTCCTTTTTTCAAGGAAATCATACAGAAATATTGCATAAGCTCATAACCACACATCTTTGAGCTTCTGGGAAAGTATGTGTCATCATGTTTTCTAAATTCCTGAGAAACCCTTCCCCATCTTTTCTACTTCATTTTATATGGAAACACATTTCCTATTCCACAGTGGTGAGCAAACAGGGAGAAGTGACAACCAAATACTCTCTCACACACTCTTTGGAAGGCTAGAACTGCCTTTTCTTTAATTTCTTTGCCTTCTCCCTCTCTTCTTGCTGTAGCTATTACTCTGATATAAAGTTCACACAACAAAATAGTGCTGTGCTAAGGCCTCCAGTAGCCTCTACAGAAACCATCAGACTACCAGCTCCTGTGTCTCCTAAAACCCTCTTCAAATTCCTTCTTATGCCAAGTCTCTATGTTCTTTCCTTCCACTCAAATCCCATGCTCAAAGTGGCACAGGAAAAGAGGAGCTAACATTGTGTGGGCATGTGTGGGCAAAGCCTCTTCTGCAAACCCACCATCTCACCTTGTCTACATCATCTTCTGCTCTCACTTCTCCAGCAGCCAGACCCACACATCCCAGTGCTGTACTCGAGTTTTAACACTCCCCAGACTAATTCTGACTCTTTCAGCATTTTAGCAGGCTAAAGGCTGCTAAAATGCTGAAAGATTCAGTTCAGACTAACATTTAGTTCAAACTAAGTAGAACTTGATTCTCCATTTACCAGCAATAAATGGTTCATTACCATTCATTACCATATTTGTCTACCTGGTTTGACTTGCTTCACTATTTTTCTTGAAGCTGATATAAAGCCTAGTTATTTTGGAGAACATCTGTAAGCTAAGCCCTTTTTATCTTTAATGCTATCATTAATATTTCTGGTCTCAAATACCTATTTGATTTGCATATAGGTATATATTAGGTATACCTATATGAACATAGGTACATATTAGGTCCATACAGGCAGCAGATAGGTTCTCCTATTACCATTAAGACACTAACATTCCACCTGCTGAAAATGAGTGGAAAAGCCTTTATAAGCAGTTTATTTGCTTCAAGAGTAGGACTTTCTAAAGAGTAAATTTTTCTTTTAATTGTTGTAACTTCCCAACTAACCCCCTCTCTTCAGCTTTTTTAGAATTTTGAAATCCCCCAGCAACTGGTAACCACAGACAATTATGTTCCCTCCTAGCCCTGAAAACCACCAGGTGCAGAAAACCCTGAAATAAATGTTCAGTCCAGAAGGACTATGAGAACATTCACCAACCATAGTCCTCTGAATTCCCACACAGGCCACAAACACAACTCACTTCCCATACTCCAGAAAGAAAGCACTTAGAGCCATGGTGTAGAAGCACAGACAAAAGCTACAGCCAGGGGAGAGAGAGCACAGATGACCATAAACTGTGGCAGCAGCCCAGGCTGTTGCAAGATAAAATCAGATTTGTGCAGGAATGAATGCTAATCCTACATGCAACATCCAAATCAGAGGTGTTCTCCTGCACACTGCAGCACGTTCAGAGATGTTTGTGTTGTTCTCCTGGACAATACGGGCCTGCATCTACAGAGCACTACACATCAGCAAAGGCAGACCCAAAGGTGGCACCTACCAACAGCCCTGGGTTCCTCCCTACCACAAAAATCCATACCTTCAGTCACATCCCTCAGCAAGGGCCCAACAACTGGCAGCATTCCCATGCAGAGGCTATCCAGTCATTTTTAAACTATGCATGGGCATGACGTACCAATTCCTCCTTCTCCCTTTTTTACCTGCCTGCTCCTGCAGTGAAATAGGCATGCAGAGAGCACAATCTGCTGACAGACCATCCTTCACGCACATCCCCACTCCAACTAAAGAAACAACAAAAATACCCACAGAAGGACTGTAACTCCCGGATGTGACTCACTGTGGGAACACCAGTGCTCATGCATGGAATGCAGGGGATGTGGTGAAATGTGGAAGAACAAGAGTGAGAGCATAGAGGAGGGGCAGGCACTGATCCCTTCTCTGCAGTGACCAGTGACATAAACCAAGAGATTGGCCTGAAGTTGTGTCAGGGGAGGTTTAGGTGGGATATTAGAAAAAGATTCTTCACCCAGAGGGTGGTTGGGCACTGGAACAGGCCAGGAGGGGGAGGACTGGGAATCATCACTTTTTGCACTGGTAAACTATTACAAAGGATAATTGAGTCCTGCAGATTATTGATTATTTACAGTCTCTGGGTTTTGCTTAGGGACAGAACTGACTTACATTTAAGCCTGCCTTGAACTATGAAAAAAGCAGCTGATTGAGAGCAGTCTAGACACTGGACCAGGTTGTCCAGAGAATGGATGCCCCATCCCTGGCAGCGTTTAAGGCCAGTCTGGATGGCACTCTGAGCAATCTGGTCCAGGGGAAAGTGTCCCTGTCCATGGCAGAGGGTTGGAACTGGATGACCATTAAGGTCTCCTCCAACCCAAACCATTCTAGGATTCCAAATCCTCTGGTCACTTATTCCCAGCATCCAGACAGCAGCACTTCCTGTGCTGTACAAGCACATCTTCATGTAGGCTCTGAAATCAATGGCACTGGGAAAATAATCTGTCTTGGTAACTCTTTCCTTTAATCAGGTTCAGTTTGCAGTTCTACTTATAAAGGATGGCACAAACTGATGCCACAGACAAGAACTGTTCCCAACCTGTGGCAACACCAGCTTAAAAAGACTCCAAATTACAACCTCTGTCCCTTACAAACCCTGTATCACCCAGCCAGCCCACTGTCACACTACCCTGAACAGGCCCAAAAGGCTCTCCTGAGGCTGAAAACAGATAGGAGGACTACTAAGGAAAAAACAAAAGAAAAAAAAAAACAAGAAAAACCCCAAAAATAAACAAAGCTGCACCCATTTTTATGGACACCTTTAACACACCCACGATCAAAGGAGTCAGTGTATGCAATCCAGAGATGATCCTCACTTTTTAAAGTCTAAGACCATTAATTACATTAAGGCAAGAAACTATCTGAAAAAATTTTCACTCTTTTCATCCTGTAGTGTTGAATAGCAATGGCAAAAATATTGTTTCATTTTGGTTTAAATATGACATAACAACCTCAGCTCTTGTTAAGAGTTTTTAAGCAGAGAGCAAAGGTTTAGTTACACTTTTTTTCCCCTCTATGTGTGGAATTTATAACTGATTATAATTCCTCTGTTTGTTCGGGAAGATTCAAGGGTAAGAGGACAGAACAACACAAGTAGGTGTCAGCTTCACAGTGCTGATAACTGATTTTTCCATTTATACTATTTAATATTGTGTTTGACAGTTCTATTAGCAACACACAAAATAACAACGTTCCACAAACAACCTGAATTTGTTAGTAGTCCAGATTTTCCCACATTCATTGCAATGCCTTGCAGTGTAGTTCCTATGACATCTCTCATGGAGTGGGGAGACACAGAAGAAACATTAAGCAACCCCAGTGTTTTTCTGATTTTTAAAAATTTAGAAAAGAAGATAAGTTTGTGTGTACAGAGGAAAAAAAAAGACAGAAAATTAAAAAATAGTAATAAACAAAGCAAGCCCAAACTTGTTGAACTGCCTAATGACACAGACACAAAAATCCACATTGAGGGAAGTTTGCTTTCTATGCTGGTCACTCTCAGAAGAAGTCTGAAAGAAAAATCTTTTTTATCAGCTCTCAGGTTGTTAGTGTGTGCTCAGGACTGGAGATGGCAACTTCTGCTTTTAGGTGAACCATGTTTTCTCAGTTTAACTCAATTTTTATAAAGAAGTTAAATTGAGAAACAAAGCAACCATTAATGCAATCATACAATGAAAATGGCATTCAGGAATACTTCTAAATATGCAACAACTGGAAGGCAAGAACAAATACTGCATAAAAAAGAGTTGATGCTCAGAACACTGAAAAAGTTGTGTGGCTTTCAGATGAGCATTACTAGAGATGCAGAATGCTTCTAGATGCTCTAGTCTCTAGTTCACATATCCAGCTTACTTCCCATATCCCCTCTGCTTTTGGGGCAGGATCTTGATGCAGCTAAATCAAGTTTGGTTGCACCTACAGTGCAACAGAACATCCTCACAAGTGTGGCTTGCACTGTGATGCCCCTCTTGGCGTGATACTACTTATTCACTTCCTCCACAGGAAGGACAAAAAGATCTCTCTGTTCTGTTGTTGTTCTGTTGTTGGAACGGAGGAAATTCCTCTGGCTGCCTGCAGGACTCGAGCCCCTGCCCAGGGTGCGCAGACACCTTGGCACAGAGCCCAAAACCCCTGTGCCTTTGATTTAGCCCTTGGAAAAACCAATCACCACCTTTATATGAAGAATTACAAGTCAAGAAAGGTTAAGTAGAATGATAGTCAATTTATCACAGGGTGAAAAATAGATTTTTGGGGTTTTTAGAATGAGGGCTCAGGGTCCCAAGATGGAGGAATTTGGGCATGCCCTGTCCTTCTTTCTTCTTCCTAGCCTCCATGTTCTGGGTGATGCTGGCACTTTTAGATTGGTTTAAGGTAGAAGCTCACTGTCTAACATAGGTGATAGGCATTGGGAAGTTATTGTAAATAGTGTACAAGTCGTTTTTAGTATAAAAAGATAACACCGCCCCAGGGGCAGGCAGTGTGCCTCAACCCTGCCTGCCAGACAGACCTCGGTGGGTTGGAGAAACAATGTTATAGGTAAGAAATAATAAACAACCTTGAGAATGGGAACAGAAAAATCCTGATTCCTTCTTCAATGACCAGGCTGGGAAAAAAGAAGCGTGTACGTATCTCAGGGTCACTCTGACCAGCAGAAGTCCCGAGACTCTGTGGGTTCCTTCACCAAACTGGGCCACAGATACCACACTGACTTTCTTTCCACCCACAGAAAACATCCAGGATCCCAGATCTGAACAGAGTTTTGTCTTGAACTTCCAAGAACTGAATGAGCATGTTCTTGGTAGGTCTAATATCAAAGTCCTTCCATAGCCTTGAGGCAAGGTTTTGTGCTGTAATTGACAAGTCTGAGGTTTCACCAGATAAAAAAACTGACTTAGCCTGGCATTGTGAAAAGCAGGAATCCCTATGTGGTGAGCAGGAATTCTGAAGACACCAAAGCTACACTGCAACTTCTGACTTCCACAGGGGAATGAAGAAAGACATCTTCTCCTCTACTCCAGACATTCAGCAGCGTGACTGGGATAAGTGCAGGGCTTTGAACTTGGATGGAGAAAGGATTCTGGAGGGGAAGGCTGACAAAGGATGAGGATCTACCAACAGCATCCTGGTGTTTAGAACAGGCGCTTGCAAGGCGAGAAACTTGCAGGCCAAGTTGAACTGCTACTGATTTATGTCATTAACTAGATTCAGGGCCTTGATTTTCACATGGAGAGATGATGGATTATTTTACCTTGTTAAAATTAACACGAAATATTTACACCTAGTCAACACACACAGCAATAGTGCAAGCATACAAACAAGAACATGGTGTGAAACTGTGGCTATTTAGTTTAGTGAACAACAGTACAGTGTTTGCATCCTGATCTCCCACCCTGATCAACCACTTTAGAATCAAAGTTTTACAGAAAAGGCAACAGAACTAGCTAAGTTTTTCATCAAAGGAGGACATTATGATACCTGCAGCCACAACTACCCTCTCTAGCTATCCAAGCACCATCACCTCCTCCTTTCAGTTGTAAGTTCTTTGGAACCTGGAATTTTTTTTCTCTAGGCAAACCTATAGCACATGGACTGAGTGCTCAGAGTAGCAACGACACGCCAATTTACATAATGCAAGGTAACAACGTGCCTTGACTCACAGAGAAAGAAGATACTCAGTTAATCATGCCTCAGTCACACTCATTTAGAACTCGGCTAAAACGCTGCAGATGAGATAAGAAATTGCAGCTAAGGCTTAACATGGGCAGACTCATGCAGGGTACAGGGTGCAGTGTCCCGGCTTCTCCCCTGGCCCTCCCTGCACACCGGGACCTCCAATGCTCTCTTACAGAACAGGATCTCTCCATATCAATTAAATAAAGCAAATTGAAGACCTCAGAAATAGCATGAGGAGGAAATCGCAGGGACGTGCTCTGAGCTCTCAGCAACAGAGAAGTTCCTTTTTAAACAGGGGAATACAACAGCTCCTATTTTAGGCACATTCATGAAACTCCCAAAGCAAAAAAAAAAAAAGAGAAAAGAAAAAAAGAAAATGAAAGCCAAAACAAAAATCCAAAACCCAAAGTCAGAAGAAATCCCTTAGACTACAGGAATGATAAGGTCTTCATAGATTAAATCACGCTTTTTGGTCCATCTAGCAATAGCAACTCGCTCTGATGACAAGAACATTTGTACATCTATCTTCAAAAATGAACAGATTTTGTTTATCCTCCTCACGTTCACAGCCCAGTGCAAGGGCTATGTGTGTAAGGATTATACTCCTAAAACACAGCGGTGGCATTTGGATTAAGAAACCCTTTGACTAGTATTTCAGCAGCAGTCAACGGCAATCATTTACTTGTATCACAAAAATCACACACATCCCCACCCCAAGCTTCCCGTTAACTCAAGTTTGAAACAAACGGGGCACAGGAACGCGCCGACAACAGGCGGGGAGTTCCCGAACGCGCGGATGGCCGATGCACAGGGCGATGCACAGCTCTGGTGTTAGGCGCGGGTCGGAAGCCGCCGCCCGGCGGTGCCCGCCGCCCTGGGCAGGGCAGGAGCGGCCGGGGATGCCCGTGTCCCGCAGGGAGCCACTGTAACAGGGATCGTGAGGGGCTGGCGGCGCCGGGGGCAGCTCCCCGGGCACCGCGGGGCTCCCGGCTCTCCCAAATCCCCGCCGCGCCCGGCTCCGGAACACGCCCGCCCGAACGCCCAGGGAGCGGCGGCCGAGGGTGCCCCGCTCCCGCTGCCCCGCGGGCACGGAGACAGGGAGGAAAGAAAGCGAAGGAGTCGGGAAGGGTCCCCACCGCTTACCCAGAAGGAGCGAGAGGCACAGGAGCGAGGTCAGCAGCCACATGGGTGCCCGCACAGTGACTGCCTCGGCAGAACCCGAAGCCGGCAGCGGCCGCGCCCATTCCGCCCCGGCCCGGCCCCGCAGCGCCGACAGCCGCTTCCGCTGGGAGGGGCCCGAGGGCTCCGGCTGGCAGCTGCGGGGCCGAGGGGAGCATAGGCCTCACCTCCCGTGTGCCCTGTGCGGGGCCGGGGGGAGCACAGGCCTCGCCTCCCGTGTGCCCTGTGCGGGGGCGGGTGCCCCGCGTGGCCTCGCACTGCCCGCGAAGGGCCTCTGTGGCTCCTGGGGCCGGCTCCGGGAAGCGCTGGCCACAGAAGTTGTCGTGTTGCTCTTGCCTCAGGGAGGTTGAGCTCTGACAATTGAAAACCTGAGAGTAAATCGATTTAGTGTGGATGGGAGCCACGCAGATTAGTTGAGGAACGAATTTCAGCAGGCGGCACGCAGCTCCGCCGCCTCAGAAAATGATCACGGAATAGATGGGTCAGTTCCAGCCCCTCTGCCATGGGCAGGGACAGCTCCGGCTCCTGACACTCCCTGAAGCCGGGTGTTTGACCACCCTCGTGCTCCCAAAAATGTCCCCTGTTCTCTTCGAGGGACAACTGGTAATATCTCCTTTTGAGGGGTGGGCTCAAGGCTAAGCCTGGCTGCGCTCTCCTGTTCCACACAAGGTGAGGTTGATCTCTGGGGGAGGTGAGTGAAGGAAATGAAATAGAACAGAAACCAACTCTGACTTCTAGGGGTTTTCTTTGACACCAGCTGCTCAGCAGCCCATTCACAAAACTCAAACACACTTAGATTCCCTTTCATGAATGGATGATTGGCCTCTTGACACTACTGAGTGTTTTCGAGAAAGAAATGGAAAACCACAACAGTTTGGAAAACATGAGTACTCAGCAGCTACTGAAAAATTGCTGCTCTATTAGCGTTCCGGAGGCAGCTGTGAGCAGCTTCCCTCTCAGGGCAGTGAGTTGCTGTGGGTGGATGCTTCAGCCTCCTTCACCTCATTCCACTCCCAGCGCATTACCCTGAGAAGATTCCAGAGCCCCAAAGCATGCTCAGCTCCCAGCAGCTTGTGTCTGTCCGTCCTGGGAAGTACCAGCACAGCGCAGTGCTGGGAGGGAGGCTCTCACCACAGGTTTATCTCTCAGATTTCTCTCAGCACACTCGGCCCCCACACTCACTGACAAGCTGCCGTGTCGGACTGTTCACCACCCCTTTGAGAGACCTCAGCTTTGCACTTCACACATCACAAAGAGAAAAAGAAATTGGCAGCCATGGGTATCTCTAAGCAGAGGTCCTGCCAGAATAAACACTGAAGTAATCCCAGCTCTGAGGGATTTTTCCCACCTTCATCTAGAAGTTACTGTAAGCTCCTTTCACTCACCGCTGAAGGCTGCATCATGAGCTGGAGTGACACTGCATCTTGAGCTGAGCAATGCTGTTTCATTCAGTTCTTACAAAACCAGAATAATACTGATCCTTTCTCCATAACTGCATTGGAATGCCATGACGTGTAGCTCACTTACAAATGGAGAGAGGCCCATCCCATAAATTCCTTCTGCTCAGTGACATGGACACATCTGTCCCTTGGTTACCTTTTCTCTTCTGTTCTTAATCTCTGACAAGTGTCAAAGGGAGCCCCCTACCCTGTAAAGGCTCCAAGTCACAGTGTTTATGCCAGAAATGTAACATGGCCATCTTCCTGCAGCACTCTCATGGCAGGAGCACATGTTCTCTGCTGCAGACTCATCTTCTTGTCAGGTAAAATGTCCTCCTCCCAAGATGTCAGAGGCTTTGGATTGAGCCTTGTTGCTGGGATGATGCTTGCACAATACAGCTTTCCTGTAGGTTCCCTAATCTGAATCCAATTCCCCCTAAAGAAAAGGTGGTGTCTGGTGCTTTTTGAAATGTCTTTGGTCATCTTCCTGATCAGACTGAAGAAATTTCTTAATTAGGTTGTTCAACTAAATCTTTGAGGTTAGGAGAGAGAAATTTGAAACAGACAGTTTCACTTTGAAACAGGTTATATTAGTTCCTTCCTGTGGAAGGAAAGACAGAAGGTCACCCACATGCACTTAAGGCAGGCCTGTGTTCTTCCTACTGAGCTGCTCCACATTGTAGAAGATGATTAGGACTTCACAGGGCAGAGAAACTGAGAGAAAAACTTGAATCTGGAGGCTGGTGCCCTTACCTAGGCTCTTCTACTTGGTGATACATGGTAAGGATGCATTCTCCCTTATGCATACCAGGTGGAAGATTCACAAAGTACTCAAAAAAGGCTCAGATGGTTGTTTTTCCTCCTTTCCTGACAGAGTACCCAAGCAGACTTGCCCATGTTTTCCCTTCCTCAGTTGCCAAAACATCTTTGTTTACTCCCTGCTCTGTCATTGCTGGGACACACTTCTGAAAGCAGGGTGGTCAACTTGCTTTGAGATGAGAACTAATCCTGGTTCCTCTGTCAGTCCTGGGAACAATACACAGGAGTCTGCATGCTTAAACCAGAGCCATGGTTTTCACTTCACAGACAAATGACAGAAAATACAGGAGCTCTGAGACCAAGCATTCCAGCAGTAAGGGGGGATCCAGAACTTAAAGAGCACTGAGCCAAGCTCAGGGTGTATTTCATGCCCTTCTTCGAATGCAAAGGCCACAGGGAGAGGCTTTAAATAGTCATCATTTGCTTAACTCACACTTGGCTTCCCCCAAGGTCTGGTGCTGCTCCCCAACTGCATTGTTTCAGTATCAAAAATTAGTTTTCCAGGCTGAGTGAATTTTCCTGTGATCAGATTTCCATTTGACCATTGGGTATTGGCAGTGGTTATATGCCTCTGCCAGCTGTTGCTTTGTGGGTGGGGATTCAGTACTTTCAGCTGAGTTGGGCACTTTCAGCATTTTGAATGTGCAGACAGCACATTTTTAAAATTTTCTTTTTAATTAAAAGAATTTGTGCATAAAATCAAGTTTGTTTGCTTTCACTATCCCTGACATTCACAAGCAAATCACACGGTGCTTTATGACTGTGTGCTGTTAGGGACTGTTAAAAGAAATATAAAGTGATTTGAAAGTCTTTGCAATAGCGCTCCCATTGCCATTATAATCACTCCCATTGGGAAGCAAAATAAGTGGCATTACGTTCCTGAATTAATGTAACTGTAATTACTCTGTAATTAAGTTCACAAGCAATAAATAGAAAACAGTTTATACTAAAATAGCTTTACTAGTAAGAGCATTTAAAGCACAGAGTAACTTGAGTGGCTTTTGCTGTTTGCATATGAAATTGCCACAGTGTGCTGCTATAATAAAAAAAATTTCAGGAATTACTAAATCTAAGAATTCAGAAAAAAATACTGCTCAAGAAACAGAATTTTCAATTTCATTAAGACATTTCTGTTTAAAAAAACACCAGTTTTGTGCATTTGCAGAATTGTTAAGCACCAAGATATTGTTTAAGAGCTCTGCAAATTCACAAAATAAAACCAGATCTGCAAATCTTGGCCAAAGCCATGTTTAACTCTAAGGCTGTAATACTGGTGCCTGCTTTATATTACATGGTATTTCAAAATTTCCATAGGACTTGGCAATGAAGGAATGGGCCCATTGGAGTGCACAGGCTTTATCTTACAATCTGAGAATTGTAAGATAAAATAAGATTAATCTGATGCTGGGGATGAAAAGATGAAGCGTGGGCTGGAAGCCAGGAGATAGCTATTGGCATTGCAATTTTCAGTCTTGGAAAATTGATTGGGCTGACAAACTCAGGCACATATTTGTGAGACACTGACAATATCCTCTGACAATAAGCCAGCTTGATCCTGGAGGCAAGTACTTCAGGGTCAGAAGGTATCTCTGTATGTATCCCTGGGAGGATGTAGTTGGGGTGGGATTCAATAGTCCTCCAGGCCAGGCAGCTGAGGCTGCCTAACTTTCAGTGAAAACTGCAGAATTTTATCTCAGAAGATTTGGAAATACAATGAACTTCTGCCTAAAAGAGCCCCAAAGCCTTCAGCTGGCGCAAACTGGGGTAAGGAAATCATTGCTATCACCAATAGCTCTGAAGAAAAGTAGTGTCTGATGCTTTTTGACATGTCTTTGGTCATCTTCCTGGTCAGACTGAAGAAATTTCTTCATTAGGTTGTTCAACTAAGCCACTGTAGATTAGTACCTGGACAGGGAACTTTGCTCATTGCCCTCCCTGCCATTTAGCACAGCCGGGGCAAAGCTGCCTTGTCCAGCACGACAGACCAACACAGAGGATACAGGTGTGTCCTTACCTGAAAGCCCATCTCAGCCAGGGATATGGTACCTCCACATCACCAGTGCCATGTTACACGTCTGGGGGTGCACTTATGCTCCTCCATCTGTATACAGCAAAGTGGAAAAGTTTTTTATTCGAAGGTCTTTTTGAAGTATTTGCATGCTAACGATGCTGGTGCATTACTGAAGGGTGCCCCCACCCTAAAAGATGTAGTGTGGGCTTGTTATGGTGATATGACCAACAGTTACATTTTAGCCTGCCTTTCCCTCACTTTTCAGGTGTAATCCACTGTTTTGCCTTATTTAGACTGTTACAGGTATCTGACCAAAAGCAGAAATACAGGAAAGACAGCAATGCAGTAGGAAAATACAGTGCAAGGCTGATATGAAGTCCTGGCATGGACTCACTGTGAAGCCTTGTGATAAACCAGCATCCCTACGCAGAATTTGGCAGAAAGGTTTCGGTAGCAAGGATAAAGCACTGTAACTCTATCGCTTGCTGGGACTGGTTTCACTGCCTGATTTCTGAAGTGAGAAGTTTCCCTTGAGGAAAGGGAGGTAGGGAGGAAAGGAAGGCCAACATCTCCTTTAAACAAGAAGTCAGTGAAGCCTCTGCTTCAAATTTTGACTAATGGTTTAGTAAGAGCAGAGGTAATTTCTCAAAATCCAAATTAGGTCATTTTCCCAAAAGTGCACAGGCTGATTGATCATTACAGACTCAAGCTGATCATTAACCACAGCTGGTTTTCCCCTGTACAATCCCTATACTTGTATTGGATGAACGGGAAGATGGTTGAAGATCCGAAGAGAAAAC